ATATTTTAACTGCCATTAAAACTACATTGTAAAATAGTCCAAGTTATTTTCATTTTACTTTTAACCCTTTGTGAACTGTCACTGAAGTTTATGTAAAGCAGTTTCATAGTATCATTTGCCTCTATTTCCAAAATGTTCTTAATAAAGGACTCCATTTCCCAGGAACTTATTTTAATCATATAAAAATTAATCACATAAGTAATTAGAAAAAATATTCATGACTCAAAGCTCATTGAAGGCCTTTCTTGACTCCCCCTAATGCTATTTCTTCCTTTATTGAAAGCTCATAGCTATCTTTGTAGTTATGGAATTCAAAGAATTTATTTTATTCTACTTTACATTCTAGTGACATTGAACTTTCTACTTTTCCACTAATAGAACAAGAACTCTTGCATCTCTTAGAGTCATTGAGTCTTACACATGTCCATACCCTCCCCACCTCCATATCTAATTTGAATCCTGGAAAATGGTAGGCAATGTATATGTTCACCAATAACAACAACAAAAAAAATTTTGGTGTACCAAAAGCCAATTTCTCCAAAGGGCCCTAAGAAAAATGAGTTATATTTTGGCAACCACAAATGTTCTTTTTTAAGCTTTATGCAACCCCTACCAATTTATCTATATTCTCATTATAAATAATATTTCTGCATTTCTTGTATATTCCTTAAAAATTAAAATACTGAGAACCATTCTGCTAGTACAGTAATTGTACTTATGAATCACAGTGTGTATATATAATACTAACTGAAATCATTGAACTCTTCCTTGCTAATGTAGTAAGAGTGCCAAAAATAAGATTTTTTTATGGGTAACTCCTAAGAAGTTTAAGAAAAAACATTTTTTTTCACTGAGAAAAGATGCAACTCTTGTGTTCATAATGTATAGTTGAAAACAGAATTTAACAAAGAATTTTACTCCTAAGAGGATCTCTTATTTACTCATTTATTCATCTACAAATCATTGACAGGGCATTTATGCCTCGCCACATGTCTAGCAGTATGAGAGCTGCTGAGGCCATAAAGCTAATTAAGGTGTAGTTCCCACCTTCCAGAAACTCAGAGTAAAGTCAAATCTTAAAAGACAACATAAATGTAAGAAGACAATGAGACTGTCCCTGGTTGGAGGAACAGAAAAAAAGGTTCACAAAGGAAGGGACAGAGTTTGAAGCTTAAGCTTTACTCTGCAGATTTGAAGGTTTTTTTGTTTTTGAGTGCAGAAGTAACAAAACATGCTGCTCTTTTTGTAAGAAAGAGATTTGGGAAAGAAACTGATCATTTCATAACAGTCCAGTGAACAGATGAGGACCTAGTTGTGGTAGGAGAAACCAGATCTGGAAGATATTTGGTAGGTAGTATCAAGAAAACTTGATAGATTGATGAGGAGGTGAAAAGAATGAATCAAATGACATTTAGGCCTTTGACAGATGGACGAAAACATTAAATGAGACCTACATCATCAGTTAACAAGTACTTACCGAGTACTTTCTATATAGGTACCAGACACTAGCTATACAAAGTCTGTTTTCATTCTAGTCAGGGAGGCAGATAGTAGACAAATGAATAATCTACAAGAGTAATAAATGTGATGGAGAAACAAAGTTATATAATAGTAACAGGGGAAGGACACAGCCAAGGTAGTCATGAAAAGTTACACCTGAATGATAAGGAAAGAGCCAAGCGATGTTCTGGTAGAAAGTGGGAGGGTGGCTAGCAAACACAAGGTTGAGATGAGAAAGAGCTTATCCTCATCAAGAGTCAGGAAGGCAGGTGGTGGATGAGGATGGGGACTAGGGATATGGAGAGAAATGAAATTGGAGAGAGCATGGAGCTCTTTGTAGCCCACTGCAAAGAGCTGAGTGTGTATTCTCTGTCCAGTGAGTAGTTAGCAGATTTGAAGCCAAGAAATTATGTGATCTGGCTGATAATTCTCTCTGCTACATGAAGAATGGGCTTAAGAGGGAAGAGTCCTAGTAAAAGTGGTGGTTTAGACTAACAATGACAAAATTGAGAAGCAGTCAGATTCCAGACAGATGACAAGACTTGCTGATGGACTAGATGTGGAGTTTGAGGGAAAGAAGGGAGGCACAGGGGTTTCAGTTCTAAACCAATAATATATGGTGGTGATATTAAATAGAAATGATGGAAACCTGGACAAAGAGAAGCTTCAGAGTGGTGGGGTCAGGAATCATGATCAGGTAATGGCTAAACTGTTAAGAAACTTCCAAGTAAAATGTATACAGTTGGATATATGGTCTAGAACTCAGGTGAGAGGTCTAAGCAGAGGTACACTTTGGGAGTCAAGAGACTCTACACAGAATTTAAAGCCTCAAGATTGGATTAGGCTCATTTTGACTGAAACAAGGTGTGGAGGTGAAGATGGGGATGAGGGAAAGAATGTGCAACAATATTTTTGTTTTGCATTTTTGAAGGAATGGAATAAAGAATCCCATTTTTTGGAAGTTTAAGATCAAATTAAATATCATCAGGCTTTTTTTGTGACAAAACATACATAGCCTCTAAAAGTACTTTTCATTATTGTACTCTTGCACTGTGATTTAACACTGCGACCTCCTTTATAGTGTACTTGTTTCTAGTCTGCTGTATTAGTGAGCTCTCTGACAACACTGCCCTCACACTGCCCAGAAGCTACTTGGAAGGCACTTTTGAAATATCAAATACAGCACAAATATATACATCCAGACTTAATCATTAACAATTGATTGTATTAATGGAAAGTCTAGGAGGCAGCTAGTTTCAAATTTCTAAGGATTATAATCTTGAAAATTCCTTTCGAAAGAATTAATCTTGAAATTCTATCAGTGAACAAGCTTTGAAAAATAATTGAGTTCTGTCTGCAGATACTTCCAATGATCTGAATGTTTCTATCCATCCCCAAATTGATAGGTTGAATATGGATCCTCCAGGTGATAGTATTCAGAGGTATGGCTTTTGGGAGGTGTTAGATAATGAAAATGAAGTCCTCATGAGTGGGATTAGTTTCCTTTTAAGGGACTGAAGAGACCAGAATTCTCCTAAATATTTTTTCTTAAACTTCTTAGGAGTTACCCATAAAAAAATCTTATTTTTGGCACTCTTCCTACATTAGCAAGGAAGAGTTCAATGATTTCAGTTAGTATTAGAAATATACACACTGTGATTCATAATTACAATCACTGTACTAGCAGAATGGTTCTCAGTATTTTAATTTTTAAGGAATATACAAGAAATGTAGAAATATTATTTATAATGAGAATATAGATAAATTGGTAGGGGTTGCATAAAGCTTAAAAATGAACGTTTGTGGTTGCCAAAATATAACTCATTTTTCTTAGGGTCCTTTGGAGAAATTGGCTTTTGGTACACCAAAATTGTTGTTGTTGTTGTTGCTGTTAGGACCCATGAGAAGGAAACAACTAAAAACCAAAAGGCTGGCTCTCATCAGATACCAAATTTGCCACATTCTGATCTTGGCCTTTCCAGACTTCAGAACTTATTAAGAAATAAGTTTCTGTTGTTTATAAACTACCTGGTATATGGTATTTTCTTATAGTAGCCTGAATAATAGTAAGACACTAAGCAATTAAACTCAAGTAATCATTGATGATTTCTAAACTATCTGTGTGGTTGTCTCCGAAATCCCAAACACATTTCCTGTCAAAGATGCTACTCATGCCCAGTGTGGTAACACATGCATGTAATCCCAGAAGCTTGGGAGGTTGAGGCAGGAGGATCCTTAGTTCAAAGCCAACCTCAGCAACTTAGCGAGGTACTGAGCAATTCAGTGACACCCTGACTCTAGATAAAATAGAAAAAAAGGTGGGGGGATGGGGTTGGGAATGAGGCTCAATGATTAAGCATGGTATTAAAAAAAAAGATGCTATTTATGGTCAGCACTCACTAAATGTTTGAATAAATGAAATAGATCAAGTTGCTTCAAAATACAAGCTGGACATTTTCTTTGTCCTAGATCTATTTCTTTCATCACTAAGTACTCAGCTCCTTGCACAGTGACTTAGGTACAGTCAGTGCTTAATAAATATGTGTTGTATGCATGAATAAAAGAAAAGAACAGTTTTACGGAAAAGATGATTCTTTTTTCCTCTTCATAAATTTACTTCCCATATCATGTCTAAATAAGTTTTCCTTATTAAAAACATTTGCTCACTGTGAAAAATATAAATATAAAAATACAAATCTCTCTTAAAATAAAGGTTACTTCCTAGTTATAACTCATGCAACAAGTCTTTTGGCTGCTTACTCTGTTATGCATTGGGGACACCATGATGGGCCACTCAGGCCAGGTTCCTGACCTCACTTTGGCTGTATGTAGCAATAACCTCCCTCACTACAAACAGAATGTAAGCAGAGGTGTGTCAGGTAAAGAGTTTCAAAATTCATGGCTCTCCCTTCTGCCCTAATACTTAACATTCCCCTAAGTCTTAAAAATGATTCTTTCAGTGGTTAAATAACGTTAATATATTTCTACATAGTACTCAAAATTATCTCAACTATATTTCCAAGTACCCTCAAGGAGCAAATAGCTTTCTCATGTGAAAAGAATGAATACCCTAGCTTTTTTATAGAACATTGTCAAAGAGTGTACTTCACTGCTAGAAATGGTAAGGTAATACAGTTCTGAATAGGTTATTTTCAAACCTTTCTCTGTAGGTTCATATACTGTCTTTTAATCCAAAATATTAGAGAATAACCACTCAGTTAAAAATAGTTCAGATATTTTAACTTAAAAACTCTATTCCCCTTTTTGTTTTAACAGAAAGTTTCCATTCCTAGCACTGAGATAAGCTTGGCTGTTGGGAACTCCCTCCCTCCCTCCCTATACTGATATCTTCTGACTTTCAGCAGATCACCTGTTTCTTGGTATCTAGGCACCTGTTTGTATATCGAGAGCTAAAGTTACTCTTTATCCTCAGAGGAATATGTAATCATAGTGACTTGTTCAGTTTTACCCCAAAAGGGCTCTTACTGTGTTTCACTTACCTCCAAAGGTTGGCTGCCTTCCACTTCTGAAGCTTTACCCCTTGGTTCATTTGTTGTATCTCCTATGAAGTAAAAAGGACAGAAACTTCACCATACTATTAAGGCCAAATTGTCTTCTACTTACTTGAATTTTTTTTCATTATTCTGTTTCACATAATGAAAACAACCACTATTTCCTTTGTTACAAAGTAAATGAGTAATTCTGAAGAACAGTAGTTTTATACAGGTTTCATAAATCATCCATAAACATATATACACACTACCTACACCAGAGATGTATCGTGCTTTACAGGCATATGCTAGAAAAATCAAATGAATTCTAATTTTTAATCAAGTCATAGTTCAAATAAACAAAGAAAGTTTGACTTAAAAAAGGCAAATCATTTTAAAACAGCATTTTTATCATATGAGTAACTGTCCTCCAAATTAATTTTTCATAAGGTTTACTCTTTTTCTATTTTTTTTTAGAGAGAGAGAGAGAGAGAGAGAGAGAGAGAGAGTGAGAATGAATTTTTTTTTTTAAATATTCATTTTCTAGTTTTCGGCGGACACAACATCTTTCTTTGTATGTGGTGCTGAGGATCGAACCCGGGCCGCACTCATGCCAGGCGAGCCCGCTACCGCTTGAGCCACATCCCCAGCCCAACTCTTTTTCTATTTTTATTGTTATTTTTTTTTTAGTTGTAGATGAACACAACACCTTAATTTAATTTATTTATTTATATGTGGTGCTGAGGACTGAACCCAATGGCCTCCACACGCTAGGCAAGCACTCTACCACTGAGCCACAACCCTAGCCCATAAGGTTTACTCATTGAGTGTTTGTGCTTTTGTGGATCTGCCTTGGAGTAGATATTGTACTTTTCTATGTAATAATTAACCAAATGCCAGATAATCATTACCACAGGAAAGAACAATGAACAAATGCATAAATTAGTCTTCAGTTAATACTTTAATTTCTAAGGTTGGTACCTGAGTGGGTTATATTACTAAATGAACTAGGTTACTAAGCTGCCTGGAAGGACCCAGAACAGATATAAATATAGTTGGGCAAGTATAAGCATGATTAACTTATTAATTACCTGCTTTAATTTATTAATTATTGCTAATGGTGATGATTAACACATGATAGGTAGACAACAAATTAGCCTACTTTTTGAAGCATAATCAGAAGCTAAATTAGCAAATTGTAAACTGTTCTTCCCCCCCCCCCCCCCCCCAAATTAAGCCATCCTAGGAATGTCCCCAACAGGGACAATTAGCAAATTCATGGATGATGGCATGGCTGACACTACAGGTTAGGAATGTGTTAGCATACAAGGTCACAAGTCTTGATTGAAGATAAAGCATGAAAATCTTTGGGGAGCTTAGCTTTTCCTTATGAAACACGAAAGTTTAGTTTATCAATGACTGTAAACAAGAAGGAGCCTCATGAAAATTTCAAAGGATTAAATAAAACCCTGTTAAATTCTAAAATCATGAAGCAAGAACTAAAATTACTTAAGATATTTTAACTCCCCACAGTGTTTACAATCTAAACATGTCAGTGCACATTCCTGAGGATCAGCTTTGTTCTCAGTTGTATGCAATGTTATTGTTAGGCAGGGTCCAGCACATAAGAGAAGTTCAATAAGTATTAATTGAATAAATTAGTGAATTTATTTTTATGGTTTCTTGCCTATAAATCTGTGACAAAAGACTTCCTGGTAATGAACAAAAACTGTATTGGAGCAGTAATGTCTTTCTTCTAAAACTTTGTGAAACTTAAAAGGAAAATTTAATAAATACCACTCTGATATATTGCTACTAATTCAATTGCTACTAGAATTCATAATTGTGATATAATTTGTTAAATTTTAAAATCAGTTAAAAATTAAAAACACATTAAAAAGCATTAGGGATTTTTTAATTATGTCTATAGATAATAAAGTTTATTGTTGTTAAATGAAATTTTTAATCAATCTACTCTTGTGACTTAGGATGTCAAACAACTATTTTGATTGATTTTTGAGGAGGTTACTGGGGATTGAATTCAGGGGCACGTGACAACAGTCACATCCTCAGTCCTATTTTGTATTTTATTTAAAGACAAGGTCTCAATGAGTTAGTGCATGCTTTTGCTGAGGATAGCTTTGAACTCACAATCCTCCTGCCTCAGCCTTCTGAGCCACTGGGATTACAGGCGTGCACTGCTACACCTGGATATTTTGATTGATTTTAAGTGACTTTACATTGACCACTTATTGGCACAACAAGAAAAGACTTATTTTTAGAATTCCCATTTTCTCTGAAAATTAGGGATTCAATAACCAACCTTCAATTGTAAGTGGAAAAATGAATGCACAAGGAGTTTATTTTCCTTAGTTATGCACATGAGACCAATATAACATGAGCAGCCAAGGTAATATAGATCTCTATATAATGAGGTCAAGGTGGAGTTTAATAATGCACATGCAAAAAAAAAAAAACAAAACCCACATATGTGTACATATGTATGAGAAAATATACATAACCCACTATATGAAAAGTCATTAACTCTAAGAAAGATCATTTATCTTTAAAAATGATTACTACTCCACCCATAGCCACACAAACACTGTAATCAACTGAAACCATTGAGTACAAATCTATTTACTTTGCCATTTTCTGAGGTGTGTATCTACACAAAAGTTTCTCCATTCTCCCTACTGCTTGAAAAACCAGAAAGGTTATCAGCTAGTGTTTTTGACATCACATAACACATCTGCCTGGAAGCAATTGCAGAATCACTATTTACTGAAATGCCATGTCTGGCGATGACTCAGATAGGACAATAACTGATTACAAGGAAAATTGCCATCTGCAACTTTATTTATCTACAAACAAAGACACAAAATGAAGGCTAAAGAAACAACAAAGGAAATAATAGGTTGCAATAAAATATAATTTTTGAAAGTTATTTCTATTATTTTATAATGGTAAAAGTTAATTTACTGTCTATATATTCTATAATCCACATAGAGGCTAGATACTTCAACAATAAACAAAAAGGAGGTGAGAAATGTGAAATAAGATATTATCATCTTCAAATATCAGTTAATTTTCACTTCTATGCTGAATAGATTCAAAAATTTCATTTATAAGTCAGTCATTTAAAAAGAACAAAACCTGTGGCATTTTTTTGCAGTATTTTAATGCTCACAAAGCCTTTTTTAAAAAAAATATTTTTATTAGTTGTTGATGGATCTTTATTGTATTTATTTATTTATATGTGGTTCTGAGGATCAAACCCAGCACCTCACACGTGCTAGGCAAGTGCTCTACCACTGAGCCACAAACCTCAGCCCCTCACAGCCTTTTTAAAAAACATTAAACTTTATTATTTAGTTGGGTAGGCACAATAATATCTCCCTTGTACTTCCCTAGTTGACAGGTAAGTAAACTCTAATGGGTACTCAGTGATTCACCCATAGTCTCCCAGGTAGAAGGCAGTCCCATTGCAGGCAGAATCCATTTCCTAACATCCCCAGGGTCTCAGGTCTGGTGAAAGGTGGTTAAGGGCTGAGGTGGGAGGAACCAAGTCTCTGAGTTAGGTAGCAGGGTGGGAAGAGCCCAGAGCATAAACGGAAACTCTGAAAGCTCTGTGCTGTTCAAACCTAAGCCCCGACTCTCTATCCCCACTTCTATCCAATTCTTTTTTGCTTTCCGAGGCCCACAGATTTTCTATTTTCTTCTCTTTCTGGAACAGATGCCAAATACTTCTGACTAGAGCAAGCGTCTGTCCTTCATTCTAGTCTTGTAAAGCAAACACAGTCTCCTGAATATTCTTCTAGAAGGTTGTGAGGCTAGAAACATTTACAGGGGACAAAAATTCCTCTTGTACCATAACCATGTAATTTTCTTTGTTTAAAATGTAGCTTTTATTTAGAATAAATGATAAGGAACACACACACACACACACACACACACACACATACCTCTAAAGCTCTTTCAGAAATTAAAAAAAAAAAAAGTGAAATTCACCTATAGCTTAGATTAGAGGTTAGCTGATTTTTTTTTTTTTTTCTGTAAAAGGCCAGACAGTAAACATTTTAATCTTTTCAGGCCATATGGTCTCTGTCACAACTTCACAACTCTACCATTGCAGCCAAAAGCAGCCATGGACAATATCTAACCTAATGAGTGTGGCTGTGTTCCAATACAATTTTTATTTACAAAAACAGGTGGTAGGCTACAGTTCTCTAGTCTCTGATTCAGAGGAATATATGTGTTCCACCTTTGCTGGGACAAAAAATTGAATAAAGTTTGAACTATACAAGGGCATAGGAAAGAGACAGCCATTAGAGTACCATCATGATCTCATTCTCCTGGGTGAAGATGGGAGGAGATGGTAGAAAGTGATCATTAGATACAAGGGAAAGTGGAAAGGGGAGAAGTTCTTAGGCATGGGAAGGGAACACTAATGCCTCCTTGAACCATTCAGAGGAGGCTTGTCCAGAGGCTTAGTGGTAGGTGGGAAAGTGAACAGATACTTGGTTCCCACTCTTTCTGCTCCATTAGCATTCACTCCAGGCCTCTCTCCACTCTTCTTTCTGTGGTGTGGTAAGTTTGGGATGACCTGGCTGGCTGCCCATGGTTCTGCCCCTTCTTCCCTTCTCTCCAAAACAGCACATTCTTCTGAACCTCTGAATGGACAGACCTTGGCTTGGGGAAGCCTGCCCCACATATCCTGTAACTGAATGTAACTCAAGCTAATTCTGAGATTCAGATTAAGAAACCCTTTTGCTCCCTGATATAAGCCTCGTTCTTCAACACCACTTTTCCAGGCAATACATATGAGAATTTGATCTCCATCCATTTCTTTTTCCCTCTCAAGCAGAGGGCTGTAATTACTAGCATGCCCTTTGTAGGCCCAAGAGGACTGGAAGGGACTGGTGTGGACTTGATTGGAACCCACTGCATATAAAAAGTTGTGAATGCAAAAAGCTGTTCATTTCTTTTTCTTTTTTTAAGTTAGAGTTTTAATCTAGAATTCCATATCTGAGAATGCAACCTAAAAAACACTGATTCCAAGAGGTTCACA